CCCGCCTCTGCATTCTTCCCAAGAACTTTTCTTTTCTTTTCTTTTTTGGCCGCACAGCATGTGGGATCTTAGTTTCCGACCAGGGATCGAATCTGCACCCCCTGCATTGGAAGTGCAGAGTCTTAAACCACTGGACCACCAGGGAAGTCCCATCTTTTTAATATTTTTTCCAAGAATGTTTCTAATTACCTCTGGCCTGTGAGGGAGAGGAACTGAGTCTCCTCCCTCCGCCACCCCCACCCGCAGGCAAATGGGGACATGAGGTCCAATGAGGGACAATGCTTAACCTAGCTAATCCAGACTGTCTGTCTTTGACTCGTGATTTACCAAGTAGTAAGACCTTGGTTCCCTAGGGAGTCAGTCCTGCCTCCAAAGCCCAGCGTGCAGCAGGTGCTCAATAAATATGTGTTGCTTTGAATGCCTGGGATGCCTTTGACAGTCTTTGTCACACTCCTGCACTGCATGACAGTCGAACCTGTCCAGAGGGTGGGGTGGGGAAACAATTCAAGGCTTCCTTTTGCTACCTATTCCATTGTCCCTCTCGGTTTGTACGTTCTCTTGCCTAATTTGAGTATATTGCACTGTAAACCAGCAGTCTTGGGTCTGCCTGGCCAGCTCAGGGTAAGGAGGTAAACGTCCTTCAGCAAGCGTGGACACTCTTCGCAGCTAGTGGTGTGGGAAGAGGGAGATTTGTTTGCTGAGGGACCCTGTGGGCAGCCGCCCAGAGGAGCAGTGTAGAAGAAATGCATACCCCTGAGGGGCCCTCTGCTCAGGAAGGGGTAAGGGGTGGGTGGGATGTGATCTGAGGAATTCACCTATTTCCCCTCCCCAGTGGGAGGCCCCTCGGGGATCAAATAAGAGCTGTCAGAGGTATTTGCACGCCAGCCTCCGGATAATTTGCTTACGGTTCCCATGCAATACTCCTCCCTCCCACCCTCCTCCAGCGAGTCCTGGGCTCTCGGTTCAAAGCGGGAAAGTGAGGAGTACAGGCTCCTTTCGGGACCCTCACCCCGTTAGCATACCCCTCAGAAGGCTGGCCTGGGGGAAGAACCGAGACCAGAGCTGTGGGCCCCCAAGCCGGCCCAGCTGGCCTTTCCGCCAGACCCCCGCCTCCCCACACCCCGGCACCATCTGCTTCCTCCCGGCGTCCTGAAAAGCCAGTGCACGTGCTCGGCCCCCTCGGGAAGGTGGCCCGGGGAAGGGGCGGGGTGAAGGTGATTCGAACCCCTAGTCCCCTCCAGGGTCACGGGCGCCTTTATTTATTTATTTCGCCCGCTCCGGGCCTCCCCTCCCGCCGGCCTTCCGGAGCGCTCCTCACTCCCGAGCGGCGCCGGCGGGACCGAGCCGGCCGCGGAGCGCGGGGCTGGCGCCGGGATCGCCCGTTGCAGCCCTTTTGCCGTCCGGCGGCATAGACCGGTCAGACCCGGCGCGGACTGCGGTTTCCGGCCACGACGACGGCCCCAGTCCCGAAGTGAGGAGGCCAAACGGGGTCCAGGGGCCGACTGGCCTCTGAATTTCCGTCCGCGCTCCCCGACTCCGGATGACCGCTCCGAAGTCCCCGCAGGTGCGCTGGAAGCAGAGGCGGGGCCGCGGCGAGGGGGCGGGGGAAATCAACGGAGTCTGCATCTGCAGTTTTTGGCGGAGATCATTTTCCCAGACTTTGGAGGCCGTGGTGAGATGACTACCCTACCCTAACCACATTCAGTTGTCTCCAAGGTCGGAGACTTTCCCAGAGCAGAGGATAGGGGCAGAGGTCTGAGAAATGAAGCTGGAAAACCAAGCCCAGTCTTCCTGAACCCTGATCCCCGGACACACCCACAAGAAAGGTGAGGGACTTGAGGTGTCCGACCCAGAGAGGGCCGGATTCTTGCTTTAGTTTAGTTGATGTTTTGTTCATCATGGATTTTTTTCTTTTTCTTTTTTTGCATTAACTTTGATTTAGAAATAATATTGCCTTTAAACATTATTTATCTGGATTCTGGAATATTTGGACGCCCCCTTAAATATTGCAACTCAGGCAAGTTGCCTCTCTGGCCTCTCCCTAGTCCCAGCCTGCCAGAGGGCCACAGAGATAGAGTCGCAAACAGGACTAAGAACATAACTGTCACGAGACGAGTTGGTGACAAACTGCAGAGCCAAGCAAACCCACTTCCAGCAAACACAGATGGAGGCAGGGCTGGGGAAGGATAGGACTGGCTGTGTGAGGTGATGAGGAAGGCTTGGGGCCTGGAAGGGGGAAGAGGGAATCAGGGCAAGCCACAGGCTCAAATAGGTGGGGGATCCGGAGGGGGTGGGGTGCAGCTGGATCAGCCCTTCACACCCTACCCCTGTACCCGGGACCTGAGGAAGCCAAAAGATTGGGCAGAGGGTGACAAGGACTGGCTGGGCCTGGAGGGCACAGGCCACTGTGAGTCGGGCTCCGAGGCTGTCCAGCAGAGGGCCCTGGCACCCAGCAACCATCTCTGCATAGTGAGGTGGCTCTGGAGGGGTGTGGGTGCTGGCTGGGGGCCCAGGCGGGGAGAGTGCCAGACAGGCTTCTGTCCAGCAATAACAGCCCTGGCTGTTGCCATCTAGTGAGCAGGCTGAGCTTCAGCGGGGGTGGGGAGGGAAACCAGCCTTCCCCTGTCTGGCCTGTGACCCTCACCACTTCCCTCTAGTTTCTTTCCGCTTCCAGCCCCCTTTGCACAGAGCTGCAGCCAATGGCCACCAGCCTGGGGGATCCATTTGACCACTAAGGCCTGCCACCTCCACAGACTTAGAGACGGGAAATGAGGATGGGGAGAGAGACAGGGGCCGAGCAAAAGGGGAGAAGAGGGCCAGGAGAGGAAGAGAGAGGCTGCACAAACACAGGGTAGGAATGGGGGGAGGGAGGCTCAGACATGAAGCTGCCCTCAAGGCATGGGGCAGTGCCTAGAAAAATACCACTCATACCCCTCTTCCTGCCTTCTGTTTGGTTAAGACCAGGAGATGTTGGTGTGTCACGTCTCTGTGGGGCCCTGAGCCAGTAGGCTGGGAACAGCCCTTCTGAGTATCTTGGGGTGCATCCACTGATCAATCCTAAGTAGAAAAACTACCCTTCCCCTCAGAGCCCAGCCTGTTCTCTGCGGAGAAGGCGTGACTCTGCCTTATCCCTACGATGTTAGTACTGCTGATTGTTAATTAATGTCTATGGCTTCTCCAGGGTACAGGCCTCTTGGGTAACTGGGGCAAGGGTGTCGGGGGTGGATTGGATTTTCTGTCCTCAGCATCTCTCTAGTCTTTGGATTGTCCTCCTATAGTGAGGGCTGCTGTAGGGACAGTGATCCCCCCATCCCCCAGATTTACTGACCAACGAAAAAGGAGGGAATCCTTCCCCCTCCCTTGGAGGTACAAGAAGGACTGATCATTCCTCAGCATGCCCACCCCCTTCCTCCTCAGCCAGGGAGGATGTGGGGCTCCGCAAGGCTTCCACCTCTGAGTATCAGGACCATAGGATTCACTCAGGCTATAAGGCTGTTACGGGCTTTTTCTCTTCCCGTTGCCAGCTGTGCCTCAGCTTTTCCAATGTTGTGGATTTAGAAAGGGTGAATCATGAGAGGGCTACAGGGCTGTGGCTCCCCCTGCCACGCCACACACATCCCTCTCTAAGTCAAAGTTGTGGGTGAGCGGATCTGTGTGGGAAAACCCAGGTCACATATCATGCTGATTCCGTCGGAGGGATCCCCGGCGTGGGGTCTGGGGAGAGGAAAGGATAGTCTGACTCGAAGAAAGTGGCACTGAAAAGGGAAGGGGGCGCTGGAAAGGAAAAAGGTGCAGTGTGAAAGAGATGGTGTGGGAGGGGGCTTGGGAAGCCATAACAGAACGTCTTAGATGGTGTAGGGGCGACGGGGCGGGGGGGCGTCCGGATCTGTCTGAACGGGTTTGTCGCTGGGAGAGTCCCGAGACAGCTGTGTAGGAGTTTGTGTAACCCCAGCGCGGAGACCGGGGGTACCCAGTGTGCTGCTATACCCTCCAGCCCCACGTGCTCCGTGATGGGGCAGGGTTTGGCGTGGCAGGGCCCCCAGAGGTCCTATGTACAGAATTAGTGCAAGGTGTAGGCCAGGCGGCGGAGGGTCTCGGGTCTGGGGTCCCTCTGAGCCGGCAGCCGGCGT